TATATATGTAAAATTTGGGGGATGCACATGCTGCATCGAAATAAGAAATCGGATTCTTGAAATCAATTCTTTTTGGGTATCAAAATTTGATGTACCCAAATCACTAAAAAAGATTCGAAGAAACAAATGCGGATCGTCCCTGAGGAAATAAGTTATAAGTTCTTTAGTTAAATTACACACACCACCATGTGCGTCATCCAACAAGTCTACAAGTCTTAAGGAGAAAGAGCTTAATATTGGAATCGATATTGCCCGTCGTTTACTTGCATTTGTAAGTTGCATATTGTTTTTTTGAAGTGGATTACCACTAATGCGTATACTCATAGCCTTTTCATGGGCCATTTGAAATGACATTTCTTCTTCAGCTTTAAATTCTTCTTCATCGAGATAAAATGTTGGTAAAGCAGATATGGGTGTTTTTATACGTTTAATATGATCATCAATGTTATCATCTTCCTCCCAGCTTAGCTCCTGAATTATTTTACGTACATCAGCGGTTAAAGTATCCTGTGTTGTCATTTTTGGTATTCTATATGGTTCATACATCATTTCTTGACTTCCTAACTCGGCAGGAACAAAGGGAATAGCCGGAGCCTGAGCACGAAAAGGACGCTTACGACCGGGCTCGGATACATATGGTTGAGTCAGCAATTGATTCCGATGACCAAATAAAGACGAGATTTTACGAATTGTAATAGCACGAATTAAAACATTTGTGCTAAAATTTTACAAAATAATCAATATTACATGATATTTACATCAAAAATAAATGTACTATATAAGTATTATATTACCTATAAAGATCCTTCATTATTAGCTCCTTTATAGTATCTGGAGATTTTTCACTGCATTGTATAAATAAAAATGATGCAGAGGCAAAAGGTCTGTGTTCTCTATCGTTCAGTAATTTGTTCCAGATATGTGGCCCCAAACGGGCAAATTCATCCAATGACAAAGTAGAATAAACGGCCACAAGAAGTAATAAAATAGAACCAATAGGCTCTTCACTAAAAGATTTCAACTGTTGGAGACGTTGTTTGGATAACTTTGATGAAAAATGTGATTTATCATTTATGGTAGGCTTCAACATTTGCATAGTATTATATTGTTGTCGTGCGTTATAATAAGGAGTTAAAGGCGTCCGGGGTGCCGATGTATTTGATGAAACAACTGTTATAGGTTTGGGTATTACAGGTACCGGAACGTCAGATAAATTATCCTTTGTTTTAGAATAAAATAAAGTAAAAAGGGGAAAGATGCGTTATTTAACAACTCCAAATTACAAAGTTTTGGTACGATGACAGAGATACCAACCTCGGTAGGACTAGATGAAGTCCACTTATCTAAAGTCGTATATACATTCTTTATTCTTTCAAACAAAAGTTCAACATCACTAATTTGTTTAGAATCTATGTCATGCTCTGAAAAATAAACAGATATATCGTATGCACTGATGCCTTTTTTCAAAGAATCTCTATAGATAGCTGTGCTAGGAGACGAAAAAATTAACCAATCTATCATCCGCGACAACCAACCCGGCCTATTAAAAAATATAATGATGAAGTTGAATGATTTGAAATTAATATTAATAGTAATAATGTATATAGCATGTTTACCTATATGTTGTTTTACAATACATTCGAATTTCAAAAAATAAGTTACAAAGTAAAACACGCAATGGTATTGGGATCAATTGTGATCGTTCCTAAAAGAAATAGTAGTAGCAATGTTAAAGCTATAAT